TTATTATTATTATTATTATGAGAGTGAGAAAGGAAATTTTTTATTATTATTTATTGTTATTACTATTATTATTATTATTATTATTATTATTATTATTATTATTATTATTATTATTATGAGAGTGAGAAAGAAAATTTTTTTATTATTATTATTTATTATTATTATTATTATTATTATTATTATTATTATTATTATCATAATTATAAATTAACCAAAATACGCCAAGTAGGACAAAAGTAGTTTAGGACTAGAAATAGTGTTGGAAAAAAAATTAAAGTAATAGTAATTTGTTCATTTTAGTGCATAATAATGTTAAGGGGCAAACTGTCAGCCATATTCATTGATCTCCATTTGGTACGTGTGCCCCTAAGACATAAGATTGTGGCTCTCAAAGTTGAGATAGTTAGATGAGTCCTAATCCACCCTAATACCTGAGCATAGTTGGTGTTCCATTATTATTATTATTATTATCATTATTATTATTGTTATTGTTATTATTATTATGAGAGTGAGAAGGAATATTATTATTATCATTATTATTATTATTATTTATTATTATTATTATTATTATTTTTATTGTTATTATTATTAAGAGACTGAGAAAAGTCTTCAGCATCTTGTGAAACAGTTCAGAGGAATAGGACTGAGTATGAATACAGGGGAAAGAAAGTATTGAACAAAAAATATCTATAACAATAAGTTATTTCTTATCTTTTAAAAATAGATATCTAAGAAGCTCTTCTTGTTCGTATACAGTATCAGAAATGGTACTCACAAGAACTTGAGGAGGCATTTCCTTCAAATTGGAATAAAACCTAGGTAAAAATAATAAGAATAATCCAAAGAAGAGTAATTAAAATTTTTAATGAAGGGTTCATGGGAACACTGGTCGCATTCCTTGTCATGCTGTTTCTGTGGAAGGCATTAAAGATGTGGTAGCATTTTTGGAGAACTATGCTGAAGACTGCGCCATTTTACTACCTGGGAGGATACCTGGAGTGAGGGATTATGGGAAGGCCAAGCTATTGCTGTCCATTGTGTCCCGACGCATGGTTTACCAACAGTATGCTGATGCTGGTAGGGAACATACTCTCTGTGAAAGTTCCTTTAAAAGAATATGGAGAAAGTATATTCCCCACATTTACAGCTTCAAGCCAATGACAAACTTATGCTGGACGTGCAAAAAGAACAGCACTGCAATTTTAAGGAATGCTGGGTGTGAGATTGAGCATCAGTCTGAGGTACATTTATTATTATTAACAATGTAATTATTCTTGCCTGTAAAATGCTATCCCTTAGTGAGTAACTTTGTCTTTAGTTAACTTGTTAATTTCATATTACTTTCAAGAATAATGATACTACATGAACAAACAGTACTATGCCTTCATGTGTTAGTAGTATCTAATGGTATTTAAAACATGTTAATGTGTATTGTGTTCTTATTATTAGTATAACTTACCTTAATCTCTTTTTGTTGTTAGAAGAAAAGGAGACATCATAGGGGTAAATGGAAGCATTGACGAGGTGGCGGGAGAGGAGCAGGAAGAGGAGGTGGCCAAGGAGGAGGAGATGGACAAAAAAGAGGGGCAGCTGGCCAAGGAAGAGGGGGAGGTGGCGAAGGAAGCGGGGGAGGTGGCCAAGGAAGAGAGGGAGGTGGCCAAGGAAGAGGCCAAAGAGGAAGAGGAGGCCCTGCTACAACAGTAAGAGAAAGAAACATCATTAAACATAACAATAACAACAAATTTTTCATAGGATTCATCCACAAGTGCAAAGACAATAAACTATTTTAACATTACATGTAAAAGATAACTGTTTTGTTGCATTAGTAACTTTATGTGTATGTATAATGTATATAGTGTTATAGTGTAAATTATTGTTTTATTTTTTATTTCTGGTACTCAGTATTAATTACTGATGTACCCTCAGTACTCCAAACTCCTGCTGCCCTCAATTTAATGTTTTTCTTTTCTTCTCTCTCTATGTTAGTGCTGTAAAGTTCTTTAATAATAATAATAATAATAACAATAATAATAATAATAAGAACTTAATTATACTTCTAAATAAAAATAATATATATATTACCTGTAAACTCAAGGAAAAGCGATGGTTGGATTTGAATGAAGTATGGGGATGATCCGTGTTCAAAACAGTCCATAATTAGGACTTTTAGCACTAGAGGACGTAATAATAACTCTGTAACTAGGTAATGAAAAAACTTACTAGTATTTGAAGCCACCATGAATGGCAGGGCTTTAGACAACTCTTACGATGTCCATTATACAAGAAATGATAGTTCAAATGCTGTGAAAAGCAAGTCAAAAGTGCTTCTTTCTTCATTCCCCGTTTATTAATTGATTTGGGTGTGGTTTTTCCTGGTAGGCGTGGTTTCATGTACTACATGAACGGGCATGACACGGAAACATTGAAAATAACTTAAAATGGCTTTTCTCTGTACTAGTATTCCAGAGCAATCGTCCAAACAGCATCCATAACTTCCAAATTTTATTGTGCATTGTCATAAACGGGATATTGCTGGAAAGGAATTTTTTTCTCTATCTGTGAGTACCAAATTTAAAAATCAGATCTGTATTGTGTAATCAATTTCTGACTGGAAGTGCATACTTGTGAAACAATGCATGTTTTATGCATTCGCCACATAAGTTATTTTGTTGCATAAGTTAATTACTATATGTGACCATAATTGACAAAAGGTACCTTATGGCGGGTAGTGAAATTTGTCTTTCTAGCCTAAGAAATCCAACTTCCTGTGCTCCATTTATCATAAAATTACTCCACGGGATGCAAAAAGTTACCATGAAACTTTTAGAAACAATGATTGTCTAACAAAGCACTCACAGGTTGATGTTTTCCATTATAACGATTAATTTTAAAATCCGCCATAACGGCCCTTTTGTCAATTATGGTCACATATACATGTACTGACAGACATACATGTAAATGTAGGGGGCCTCTACTGTAGTTTGAAGTACCCACTGTAAAAATTTGTACTGTATAACCTCTTGTGGCAATATTCTAATAGATTCATGTAATTTTGATTTGTAAGAATTAGTGTACAATTATGATTGTTTTAGTTTTTGAGCTTTGCGAGACTTCTTTGTCCAAGGCTATAGCAAAGATATAATATTAATTTTTTTATTTTGTTAATTGAAAATTCACTGCGCGTTACAAAAGTAATAACACATTTTGTATATCTTTGAAGACATGACGCCATATTTAGTATTAATAGTGCATAAATTGGGTTTGTTTTTGCACATTTATCAAACTGACTAGCTATACTCTTATGCAGTGCCGTAACATTCTTGATCCAAAATCCCTGTA